TAATGTCCAGCACCGAACATTTTCATTTCATTGCGTATATTTAAGATCTCGATTTAAAAGTAACTGCAGATTTATTCAAATATTTTTTTGCTTAGTTTTCTTTTTTCATGATTAACGATTTGATTTCACTTTTGTACTATCTACTGGAATGAAATAACTTTTATAGCATTCAGGTTAGTCAAAATCTATTTATAGCATTCAGGTTAGTCAAAATCTATTATTATTACTAGTTTATGCAACTCACCAACCCAGCTCTTAATAATATTACTAAAATACTGATCGACACTGTGTAGAACATGAAATACAACTGGTTATTATGATAGTAAAACGATTTTTTTTAATAACTGGTTCTAAGTTTCCAATGAAGAAATATTATTTTTGGGAAAAATTGTTCAGTGAAATTGCTTTTAACAAAACGCATAAGTATTTTTCTTGGCCGGAAACTAGAAGTGAAATTATAGTCTTACACCAAACTGCTACAAACGGTAATTCTTGTTGTGGATGTTAAAACACGACAAGAGAAAAGAAATAGAACCTATTCTTTCCAGTATAGAACAAAACCCTTTGTATGTTTAAACCTTCTTAAATATGTACACCAAGTGGTTGCCGAAATGCTTTACTTATTTGATGCTTATATTTCATGCAAGTTTTAAAACGGAATTCCAAAGAGAATACATTCCTGGATTAGGCCAGTTAACTTTGATGATAATTTCTTTTATTTTAAATGCAGTAAATTAATTGTATTGAGTTATACTCTATGCGGTAAGAGTAATTCAGATCTTTAATCTGTGTGTGTGTGTGTGTGTGTGTGTGTGTGTGTGAATATGTTTGAGCCCGAAGTAATGATAGAAGAAATTGAAAAAACGGAAGTAGACCGACTGACGTCAAAGGGAGGTAAGCCAATAAAAAAACTCCCTAGAAAAATCAAGCGGATTTTGTAGACATTCAGACGAAGGAGCATAGAGATATTAGATAAGATCGGTGTTGACGGTTAAAAAAGAAGAATAAAAAATGATACTCGTGACCCTCTCAGCAATGGGATTAAAAGGAGGGAATTAAGGGGCATGTTTCATGATTGGGGGGGGGGGATTACATTTTAGTTTCACTGGAGATCTTATTTGAAAAGGCACACAATAGCCATGAACATGCCCCAAACATGTTCTATAGTTTGACATTTATAAAATTTGTAACGGAGAAGTGCTACCGTTCTGTAGAAGACACGGTTAGAGAATTTCAAAATAAATGAATTCAACATGTGAAGCGTTTTTATACAATGTATTTTTAGATGAAGAACAACATAGCTCCCAAAAGATGAGGAATAGAAAATGATATTTATGTGTACACAGATAGCACAAAAAAGAATAAGAAAGAAAAGAATTATGGAATTAGCAGTAGCAGTAGTGAGTGCGTGCGTGCGTGCACCACGTGGCTTGGTGAAATTAAATAGTCGGTTTGCTGGCTGCTGTTTTCCTTGAGGGATAGAATTCACAACGTTTGGTACTTACCACATTCTATGGGTAATAGAGTAAAAAGAAATTAGTAGGGTTAAGCAAATTTCAGACAAGGTGGGGTAATCCAATAAATTTAAACATTATTTTACTCAAATATATTGAAATCTATCATGTCATGGTTTGCAATAGACTTTCACAGGTTTCATGAATGTTGTTTGTTTATTACCAACTAAAGTTAAACGCACACAGAAACGCACGCCCGCACACAAACACACATACGCATATATATGCACATACACACAAATATGCATAAACACATGGTCACACACCCTCACACTCATCCACAGTGACGCATATATAGGGAACTCCTGTGTTCTGAACAGCTTAACAACTAGATACAACCAGGGTGACATTTTAACAAAGCATTCAAAGTCCTTCCCTGCCAAAAGCTCTAATGAAATAATCTTGTTCTTATTGATAATGTAAAATAAGATAGATTCACGTGTAATAGTTCCGAGGTTTTCACCAGCGAGGAGTTCAGCCGAGAGATAGTAACTACATAGAGTTTTGAATGGATGTAGACTAAATCTGCACATGGGACTGAACTACTGGCAATACACCCCGGTTGGTGATGACACGACATCGACAGACGGAAATCAAAGTCCAAGGCGGAAGGCTTCCCAAATGGAATCAACAGCCATGTGTCCTTGTCCAAGACAAACTTTCGAGTCGAAGGACATCGGCTGTAGAGTCTGAGCTGGAGGAGAATGGGCTCCAACTTGCCTAATTTGCTCAAGATACGCTACACATGAAGGAATACCTCTACTGAGACATATGGAATGTCAACATGTCAAATAATAAACTGACTGTATATATGTACACACCTGGTACCTTGTTGAACTTGTGTGTATATGTGCGTGCATGACATATTAATATAGATAAATGATTACTTCCTATCAAGTGCTCAGATGCGCATCGACGCTACGACCACACCCGATTGGGTAACTGATGATGATAATGAAAATAAGCCTTCTCACGAATCGACTGCTGTTTATTAATATTTCTTTTATTTGATGAATATCGTGTTCTTTAAATGTACGTTTTCCACGACAAAAATCACATTCTAAACTTAGTCTCCCCTTTTATATTCATTGTCAAAATAAATTGCGTCTCTTTTAGAGAAAACTATAACTTTGATTCGAAGGAATTGTAGAACAATAATAAAAATTAAATGAAAGTGTAAAAAAATGAGTTCGCATTTCCGGTTTAATTTAAACAATTGATAATTTTTTTTTCTTTTCTTCACTTATTAGAGTGTTGTATTCAAATCAAGGATAGAAAGTTATCGGAAAGCAAATTTATTACGCGTCGAATGTTTGTGAAGACGCGCATGCGTAACTGTAAGAAACGATTGTCATTTTTAATTGCATTGCCGAAATTTATGAGTTTCTTTCGAACAATTTTTTCTTCCTTTTTTTTCTCAAAAAAATCTTTTTAAATCTGTGCCTGCGCAAAATCCGTACAAAATTCACGTCTTTCTGGGGCAAATGATAGTTTTTCTTTTCACCTTAGAAACTGAATTAAAATTTCCTAAATACAAAAAAAAAAAAAAAAAAAAAACTACTGTAAACCGCCAAAAATGTTATTCATTTTTTAGAAGTTTTCATTGAATGAAAGAGAAAAGAGAATGGAAAAATACTCACAAATATTAAAAGACTTTTCTAAGCTGAAATTGCAAAACTTTGATCTGTCAATACTGACAAGCGATGAATCAGTCATATTTTCATATTCTTTGGGTGCGCTGCAATCTTTAGTCTCCATGAAATTTAAACTAGAAAATCAGAGCTGATCAAAACAGTGTTATTTTCTTTAGTTTTTAAACAAAAAAGTTTTTTTTCTACATATCGAATAACAAATAAGATTGTCTTAAAAGCACCTCAGATTATAATTGAATATGCTTTTCTGAAAACACGAAGATAATATAATGTGTAATTCCATCATGCTGAAAATGAACAACTTTACTTAAGTAAATAAAATGACTGTTTTCTTTAATTCCCATGATGCTTTGCAAAGAAGATTAAGATTTTCAATACAATGCTTCAAATCCTGCAGAATATTAATTATATAATTGTTGTTAACATTCCTAGTAATCTTTCAATTTGCCTAGTATAATACTTTTTCATGGAAAGTTGTTTTTCATTAGATGGTCAATCCGTATTCACACCGGGTGCGGCCGAAATATCTGCCACATAATTGTAAGACATTATCTAGATGAACACACCAGTGCCACTGATGCCTTATCGTTATGTAGAGTGTATTTATGGTAGGCATATGTGGGATGTATATATTGCGCACACACAGACACATACAAATTCAGTACGATTCTACGTGTTAATAATTTAGACGGTATTTAATGTCTTAAGTGTACACACCAGAACAGTCTGGGGAGGAATCTATTTTTTTTTATTTTGACATTTCTAATTATTTTAATTTCTGTAAGTTTCCCAAAATGTCAAGCGTATATAAAAATCATTTTTTAAATTTTTTTGAAGTTTTCATTGAAAGAACGATAAGAAAATAAAGAACGGAATAAAAACTAAACTGACAAATATTAAAAGATTTTTCTTAATAATTCTTTCAAGGTTCATTTATGTGTGACTAAAAGAACACTGACATGATTAGTTTTAGACAGTAAAACGTTTAAACTGAAATTGCAAAACTTTGAAATTAAAAGACAAAGACATTCGAAGAGACAAAAACTTTGGAAATGGTTTTCTGTTTGGAATATCAAAATAAGAATCGGAATATTTCATATTTTGGCATCGCAGGATAAAGAAAAAAAACACTAAAGATTAAACTGCAGCATAAGTGAATGTATAGATACAAAAAGGTGGAACAGATACCAGAGAGAGCAGGAACAGTCATACCCTGGAAACTGTGCAAATAAATTATGTTCAACTTTGTATATAATCAAATGAGACGAACAAGAAAATAGAAAATGTTATGGAAAAGAAAAAGAGGAAAATCCGCTGTGATTTTGAAATCGAGACAAGCGCCATATTCATACCATGACATTTAGTTATGGACAAGATTGTTATAAAGAAGAAGGAGATGAAAGAAGGAGGAGGAGAAGGAGATGGAAGAAGTAGAAGGATGAGGAGGAGGGAGAAAAGAAGTAGAAAAAGAAGAAATTCTCTCAGTGACAAGATCTGATGAATTGAAAAATTTAAAGAATCTTTTCTTGTCATTCAATTTCCAGGAACAACCAAAGATGCTTTGTTTGATTGATTGATTTTTTACGGCTTATCAACCTTTTGTAGGTTATTTAATAATATAAGAATTAAAATAAAATATTTTTCCATTGTATGAATTTTTGGAGATATTAATGCCTTACTGATACAAGTCCTACTAATTAACCCATAGCTGGGGGGTCAAGAGGTGGATTCGTATCTTTCCTCAATAGTGTTTGCGCGAAAGTAAATATAATAAATCCGAGTGGAATTCAAACTTTACTCTCCATTTTCCAATTCGCTATCCATTACATACATGCCTACAGCACTTGGAATTTCCAAATGGTTACCCTTCTAGGTAATGACCAGGCCCGATGGTGCTTAACTTCAGTGATCGTTTGCGAACCGGTGTTTCAACGTGATATGGTCGTAAACCCTGGTTGATGTTTCAAATAAACAATATCATGAGGAACATACATATTGACTTATTTATAAAAAAAAATGGACTTCAATCGATGCACCAAAGGTTGTTCACCCCAAAGATGCAACCAGCAAACAGGACTGAAGATGTAAATTCGATATCAGAATCAAGGGTTGTGCCCAAATGTTCAAAATATAATTTATAAAAACCATGCAGAAAGGATAGAATAGAAAGTTCTGAAAAGAGAAAACATCAGATAATAAAAAGAGGGGGATTCTGAAACAGCGAAAAACGCATTAAGGAAAGGAAAAAAAAAAACAAAACAGCGAAAATGAAAATATTCAAAGGAGAAATTGAAAGAGAGAAACTATTGGTCAATCAAAAGAACAGAATTAAGATAGAATTACCGAGAGGTTAGCCGAAAAGCAAAATGGAATCTCTTATCATTGAAACTGAGAACAATGTCTTCGGGGAGAATTCTATTAAGAAAAAACAAAAGACTCAAACAAACTACAAATGTTGCCTTTGTGCAGGAGAAAATGAAACTAAACGAAATGATAAGTAAATGCAGTAAGGTGATTCAAAAGAATTATAAAAATAAGCCTCAACAGAGTAGGAACGGTGTTACACTGGGAATTGTGCAACTGGCTTGGGTTTGGCCGTCTAAACAAATGATATCGATAAAATCCAAAGTCCATTATATAAAATACAAAGAATAAGATACTTTGAGGTTTTCATATCCGAACAAACCTGCCCAACCAAAACGAGAAGACGTAAGCATGAAAAAAGGGGCAACTGCCAGATCGTAGAAGAGGCTAATTTAGCGGGTCATAAGAGTGAAAACCTGAAAATATCAGAATCTTGGAAATTGATAAAACAGTGGAATATAATAGTAACAGTCATGCCAATAATTCTTGACAATCGTGGAACTGTTCTAAAAACACTAAACTTGAGATTGAATGAATTAGAAACTCAAGAAACATTTAGGACTGCGTAGACCATATCGAATCTGGAGTCTGTACCGAGAAAGAATTAAACAGACCAGGAAGCAGGTGTAAATATAAAAAAGCATCAATAATACTAATTCAACTAATAATAATGATAATCTTAGCAGAGAACTGAACTTTTTATAATTTTATAATACGAGAGTGACAGTTGTACCTATAATTATCGGCGTACTTGAACTAAAAAAAGACAATCCAGATAACAGGATGATAAAAAAAAGGTAGTATACTGACGAGAAGTTGGTTTATTGAAACAATTCTCTTCCATTTTCATCCATTTAGTGAAAACTATCAAATACAAGTGATGGAAATAATCAACAAATTATTATTGCTTTATTTCCTTTGATTTCTGGCGTTTACACACTTCTTTCCGGGTCCCGCCCAGGGACCTAAAGTTAGAGATGGCATCATGACACTTTCCACTGACAAAAAAAAAAAAATATATATATATATATATTTTACATAGATAAAGCCCTTCGTAAAAGTGTGGGTTGTACTTGTGAGAACAATTTTTTGTATCTCTTTGAGGCATGGACTTCCAGGTATCCCTTCAGTTAGTTTACTGGAATCTTTTTCAACCAATCCTAGGGCTCCAACTACAACAGGGATTGTTGATGTTCCCATGTGCCAAATTTTTGAGATTTCTATTTCAAGGTCCTTGTATTTTGACAGCTTCAAAGATACATTGCAGTCTGCAGGGACGGCCATATCAATAAGGAGGAACTTGTTTGTTGGTGGTCTCTAATAACAATGTCTGGGCGGTTGGCTTTGATTGTTGTTGCTGTTGTTGTTGTTGTTGTTCTTCTTCTTCTTCTTCTTATTATTATTATTATTAATAATAATAATAATAAAGATGAAACTCAAGGTTTTATCCTTGCAGCACAGGACCAATGTTTCTTAACTAGAAATTATCAAGCACATGTACTAAAATATTGTGTTAGCCCAAAATGCACATTCTGTGATAAATATCCAGAAAGAATTGATCATCTTGTATCAGGTTGCACGATATTGGCACCCACTGAATATAAAACCCGGCATGACAGAGTGGGCCAATATCTGCATTGGAAAATCTGCAACTTCTACGGAAGGAAACTGAAAGAAACTGGTATGAACACCACACAGGCCCATTACGGAAATAGAACCTGTTGCAATTCTATGGGACTACACAATACACACTGACAGAACATGTGCACACGCCAGGAATCAAAGGAAATAAGATAATAATAATAATAATAATAATAATAATAATAATAATAATAATAATAATTAATTAATTACATTTATTAGTAAGTTCCTGAAATGTTTGATGAACAGAACACTTGAAAACTGAATTAACGAAATGGTTTCTTGGCGTTCAAATATTATAATTATTTAGTGACAGTCTTAAGAAAGGTCGGTAATCCCATGTAAACACCTTTATTGAGAAGCACATAAATGCAAATTGTCTCTCTACGCATGCGTGTGCGTGTGTGCGTCCCTCGATTTTCTCAAAAACTATAAGACTATAAGTATATCCGCCTTTTTTTTCTGAATCAGTATTAAGTGGAGACAACCTTTATATCATTTGGAGGCGAATTACCTTTGCAAACTTTAACATTCCGTAACAGCGACAAAACTAACAGTCATTTTTGCAGGACCGAGACGTGCTCGTATTTTTCTAATGAGTTTTTAGATAAATAAAGAAAGGAATATACAGCAAAGCAAACGAAACAGCAAAGAGGGACAGTAATTAAAAAGCAAATTAATGAAGATTAGGTTCTTCTAAACTGAATACGCGAAATCCAATAATGGTCTCATTTATACATACATAATGATCAGCCTAATGAGCCACATTACAAAACTCATCATCCGTATTCTGATGAATAATGCGCGTAGCAGAATCAGACCAGATATAGGACAAGAACTGTACGGGTTCGTTAAAGACACCGAAACAAGGACCACGATATTCATACTCAGAATGTTATCACAAAGACCGATACAAATGCAAAAGGACGTGTACCTGTGTTTTATAGACTACGCGAAGACCTTCGACAAAGTACACCACAAAGATCTGTTAGAGCTGCTCAGCAAACTTGACGTATTCAGAAAAGACATTAAAATAATCAAAAAGCTCTACTGACAACAAACCGCCTTCATAAAGATAAAAAAAATGAGTTCAGCAGATATACAAAAATAGAAAGAGGCGTAAGGCAAGGATGTGTCTTCTCACCGGACTTATTCAACCTATACAGCGAGACAATTCTAAGGGAACTGGAGATCCTACCAGGATTCATCACTGGCGGCCACAATCTTAACAACATAAGATACGCAGATGACGCAGTACTGATAGCAGACAGGGAAAGGTAACTACAAAACCTCCTACAGAAGGTAGCAAAGGAGAGCGAGAAGAAGGGACTAAGTATAAACTACAAGAAGACAGAATGCATGGTCATCAGCAAGAAAATGAACCCGAAATGTGATTTATAATTTGGGGATACTTTAATCAAGCAGGTGCGGAAATTTAAATATCTGGGAAGTGATCTGACAGAGGACAATAAGTACGACACTGAAATCCGAAGACGTACTGGAATGGCCAAAGACGCATTCCAAAAGCTAGGCAGAGTATTACGAGACAGGTGGGTTTTGTTGGTAACAAAGAAAAGAGTACTGAACTGCTATGTGGTATCTGTCCTCCTTTATAGCAGTGAATGATGGACGGTATCATCAAAGATGAAAAAGAGATTCGAGACAACGGAGGTATGGTTCTACAGAAGGATGCTAAGGATACCGTGGACCGAACATCTGAAATTTCTGGGACATGTAATGAGAAAGGATGGCTTGAAAAATCTGATACTCAAAAGGCGGATAGAGGAGGGGAAAGGGATAAAGGAAAGCAACGCCTAACATACTTAACGGGCTTAAGTTAGTGGATGGCAGAACAGGATCTGGGAGAAATAACAAAAAGACAAAACTTATTGAGAACTACAAGGGACAGGAAGATATGGAGAGCCATGACCTCCTACGTCCTGAATGGATACAGAACATAAAAAAGAATGACAAGTTACTCATTTCTGACCACACCCGTCTGCTAGAGTGGTTAGCCAATCCCTGTTTCAGACACCTACTCAGGTACATTTTGTGTTTGTTCAAAAGCCACAGAGCCCACCTGTGGATTATACTGTAACCATGCGGAGAGGCACTTAGTTATCGTTTCTAGAAGAGAAGCTCACCCATTTGTCATAATCAACCAGTTTGTAGATAGGCTATAGGCTGAAATTCTCGGTTACGATGAAATAAATTCGAGGTTAGGATCAAGTTAAATAAAAAATTATATTTCTTTCATTATAATCACCTGTCATCATTTAAATCTAATCGACTTATATGCAAGAGTTGTTCTAACAACGGGTTGAAAATGTTAATGAAATTAAAAATCAGAGTTAACTACTTTCCTCGGTCACGTGGTTATTCTAAAGTAAATAATCATCAGCGAAATAGATTAATATTAATACTAATCGAAAGTTAATTGATTTTTTTATCAAGGTACATGCAAGATATATGTTTTGACAGTAGTCTTGAAATTTGAATTTTAAAACTCAAATTTGAATTTTAATATTTACGATTTAATTACTAAAAATACAACCGTCCTTGACAGTAGAGTTTGTGTTTTGTGTTGAATGACATCAAAATTGAAAGTAATTCGCGGTCCATGTAAAGAAAATCCAAAGAAAACTTGTCGGGTGTTGTTCTTATATTTAAAACACGAGATTTCGTGCCAAAAATAAATATGTTAAAATAAAAAAAACGTAGTCTGTGATTGAGCAAAAAGCAAAATCTCTTGAACAGAATAGAGAAATGATTCATATATCGAGTGAGCCTTTAAATCCGAAGTTTCCAATTCAAAGAATAAAAGACGAAATTGTGTAAAGTATTCCAGGAAATGGTAAAATGGAACCAAACTGATGATTATTGCTTATTACGAAGCATTAAATTGACTATTTTGTCATGATCAATTTAAATGTCTGGTTTCGATAAAATTTTCTTTGAATTGTTTATATGATATCTTTTCTCTTACAAAGGAGATAAGTATTCAGTCCGTAAGAATTAGAATTCAGAAATGTGAAACCTTTAAAATAAATTTGCTCAAAAATGATCTGGTCTCCGGGCATCGTAGTAATTTTTAAGATTTGTTAGTTGTCGGTTTTAGAGAGTCAATCAGAATATTTTATCTGTTGAAGCTTCGAAGATTTCCTTTATATATTCATCAGATTTTATTTTAGAATTGTTTTGGATTAAAAAAGAAATAGTCCTATTCTGAAGAAAAAGAGTATGGCATCAAAATAATAAAACGCTGAATTCTAGAAATCTTTTTCAAACTGCATGGAAACATCATAATTAGCTTTGCATGTAGGAAAATTGAATGATTATTTTGTTTATATGAAGCATGTTGCATGTCTTTTGTTAAAGTAGAAAAATGAAAATGACAAAACTGATATCAAACTGCCCTCCTTTATAAATGGCCTTACTGACATTTCTAAACGATTTGCGATTCTGCATTTCGTCTCTCTTTTAAACCAACGCTTTTGATTAGATGAAAACATTTAATCTTAACCGTGGTACTAATTCTCTTGATATTCCCATTATCACGAAAAGTAATTGTGATGAACCTGTAACCTTTGGCGCCTTTCTTTCATTCTAGTCTGTCTTTCATTTTTCTCTTCTCTCTTTCTTTAACTTTGTTTCTTCTTCGATCTATCTCTCTTTCTTTTCTTGCCAAAAGTGATGATGGAATTGTTTATTCATCTGTTTTGTAGATTTGTCAACAATATGTGAAGTTCTGCAGACATATGTACCCCAATCCCCTAGAGAGCTCCAACTTGTGAAAGGAGAATTTCTTAAGATTGTCGAAAAGGACCCGAAAGGGTGGTGCCGAGGGGTTATAGGGTCCCATATCGGCTGGTTTCCAGGCAGTTTCGTCAAAGAGATTAGAACAGGTAAATACCCAACCGAGTAAGAGGTGACTTTATACTGCATGTTCGTCTGTTTCATATCCATTGACATGTCCCAACTCTTCAACTGAGTAGACGATATGTCCGGAAAAAAAAATCAATGGTAAAAAAATCTGCAAATTCTTTGGATGTTTTTTTTTTTTTTACTAAATACTCACCCCTAATATATGACCAAATAGCCCCTCAAGGTTGAGGGTTATTGACTGAGGTTGTTGTATGGACGTAAGAGGATTATGATGATATATAAGATAAATAATGGTTGACCCTAGATTTGAAGAGGGTACGGTTTTTAGTGATCAGGGAAGAGCATCCTACCACACAGAGCAGCAGTTTAAAAAGAAAAAAGGTTTTCTGAGTGGAAATTCTTTCTTATAAGATTTTTTTTGTATTTTTTCTTTTTTGTATGAAACCAAAAAGAATGGAGATGATTTGACTCTGTGAATGTGGCATGGCTCGCCAGAGCTAAAAATGTTTGAACTGGTGAGATTAATGAATGAATGTAACTTTTGTCATGAAATCAGCGAATGAAATCGAAAGGGGTTGTAGAGATGAACATAATTCATCGGCCAAAAGGCAATGTAAACGTTTTTAAACAGTATCAAGCGTGGAAATTGAGGAAGACTCCAGCTCAGATAAGGCAGCAACATTATTCGTCTGATCTGCTTCGTACTGAAAAATGGATTCGTTACAAGTGAATTTAGTCTGAGTCACCTGAGTTATCCCTTGACAAACCATATTATCTCATTTCATTGAGATATAGACGTACACAGTTTTGTAGGGCATTGTCAAAGGTATGCATTCTAATAGGGGTTTTACAAGAATATCAGCAAAGCTATCGATATTGAGATTACATATTTTTGATGGCTAACCTCAATACCAAAATAGGGACAAGAAACAATGGCGAATCTAGGTTAGGAGAAGTTGGAATAGAAAAGAAGAATGAACGAGGCGAAATGTTACTTAACTTCTCGGGAAAATAGAGAAGAAACTGCAAGTGGGCTTAAGACTTTAAATATGAGAACAGAATTGAATATTGACAGCAACATCTTTGGTCGAATTTAATTTTCGTACGTATCCATCATGGCAGGGGCAGTCAGATATATTTCGGTGTACGACAAGGAACTGGACATTATCCTAGCATTTCTAGTAACGGACCGCGTCTATATGAGTTCCACTTGTGGTAATAGACGTTCAAAGTAAGAAGTCTAATTTGGAGCACAACCGCTCAGTATCATAGGAGAAAATTCAGAGACTGTTCGGTGACGATGACACCTCACAAGCTTCTTATTGAATGTTAGATGCTAGTCCCCCACTCTATGGAACAGTTAGAATGAGGTGCTAACTGAAGCACCAAAAATCTACAGGAAATATCACGCATATGCAAAATGATTATATCCATTTTATCCCGTAATAGGAAAGGACTTATTTGATTGACGGATCCATGATGTGTATGTGTAATTCTATTGGCCTCGACGGATACAGAATTTGATAATTAATCTATAATAGCACACTCTTACATATATATGGATGTGTACATTATTTTTATAGATAATTTCACTTCGTTATTTCACAACTGATATCGAATGTAAGACAATTCAATATTGGACTGAATCGTATCGTGTATATTTATGCTTCATCAGGAATTAAGTGTTTGACTCAGATCTTCTGAGATAGAAATCAATTGTATGGTAACATATTCGTATAATTCACACACGTGTGTGTGTGTGTGTGTGTGTGTGTGTGTGTGTGTGTGTGTGTGTGTGTGTATGTGTGTGTGAGAGAGAGGTACGATGGAGTAATGGATAGCGGTTTGGATTGAGGAATCGGAGAGCTGAGTTCGAATTCCAGTCTAATATGTGCTAATATCCTTGGGAAAGATATGAATCCTCTTCTCCCTCCAGCTATGGGTAAATAGCAGGATAGACTGGGTTCTATAGCCTTGGATGGCAACTGGTCTAGAAGGACAACTCTGCATTCAAAACCTTCTGAGGGTCGTTTGCGCACCTTGTGGCACGTAGTGCACCAGGTCTGCACAAAACATTCACCACTATAATCAAATCTCGGTGCTGGTGTCGGGCTGTCAGTTTCTAGGAACTAATATGCTTGACCCTTATACGTCGAATTCTTTGAGATAGTCCAATATATATATATATATATATATATATATATATATGAAGTGGCCATTGAAGTCAATACTCAGAGGCAAATGTCAGTTTCAATGGCGACTTTTATATATACATACGGTGTATCCCTGATATTGAGCACTTAACCTCAAAATATAGCATACATTAGAGCTATATTTTATCACACACACACACACACACACACACATATATATATATATATATATATATATATATATATATATATAATGAAATGGTCTAAGTCCGACAATTAGTTTAATATAAATTTAAAGATACAATTATTGAAAGAAAAGGTCTTGTTTATAATAAACAGTATTAATTACATTTATCGGCCTGAATAACGTATAAACGGAAAATATATTAAAATAATTGTCGGACTTAGTCCATTTCATAATATATGTTGTCATTTGTTTACGTTAAGATATGCTTCGAGCAGATATGAATGTTCGAGAAAAATTGTGGGAAATTTGTTGTTTAAAAATAGTAATTTAGTCATTGCTAACCAGGCGCTTCTTCTGTAGCTGAGTGGTATAGCACGTGAGATCAAATGACGTTTCCGTGTAGGACACAGGTTCGATTTCTATAAGAGGACACATATTTTCTACAAAATTTCTCGGACATTCAGGCTCGTAAATGTAATTAATAATGTTTGTTATAAACAGAGCATTTACTTAAATAATTGTATCTATAAAAATAACGTATAAACAGAAAATGTACTAATATATATGTGTGTGTCTTTGTCTTTTACATAATCTACAGAGTATATATATATTCATAGTCTATTATCCAAGTTATTCTTTATGATATGTTATCGAAACTTACTAATTTTTAATAGATGTTTACTTACGTTCATCTGCTGTCGATTCTGTCTGTCTGTGCCAGTCTCACTGACACGTGACGTTCCAGTTAATCATAATCAGTCCCCGATCATTAAATGGTCTGGTCTTTAGTTTTCAGCTTTGTATGTTGAATGGTTAGAACATCAAATTCTATATTTAATATCTAAGTCTTTCTTTTGCTTAGAGAGTGTCTGCTCGCCGTCGGTGACATTGCACGCAATGAACCTTTGATAGTCGATGGATCTAATATGAATGCCTTGGTATAAGTTTAGTTTTATTATTATTCTAGTTTTGGGGAAGGGTGTGGCGAAGTGAGCTCATTCCTTGCTACTAATTTCTGATGAGATTATAAGAAGCAATGGCGTAAGTTTGCACCACACCCAATATGATGAATTGGTTATAAATGAATTCTACAAAAGTCACCCTATTTATCCAATGATAACCATATTATCCCATCCCATTGAGACACAGACGTACATAATTTGGTAAAGAATTGTCACAGACGACATGTTAAAGTATGCATTCTAATAGTGGTTTTGTAAGAATAACAGCAAGGACATCGATAGTGAGAAGACCAATTACACATTTTTGATGGCCCAATAGGACTAGAAACGATGGTGAATCTAGGTTAGGAGAATTTGGAATAGAAAAGAAGAATGAATGAAGCGAAATGTTACTTAACTCCTAGGAGAAATACAGAAGAGACTGCAAGTGAGCTTAAGACTCTAAATGAAAGAACAGAAATGAATTTGATTTGATTTTCAATACAGTCATCCACAAAGTTAATATAAAAAGCGATCATAGAATACTAGTTTACACAGTCAAATATGACTTTGAAATTGAGAGATACACGGTGAATCTTTAAGGCAAACATATCCTTATAAAGTCAGAGTTAGTGTCACCGAATTCTAGGGAAATCAAAAACAGATTTCAGGCTTTGTGTAAACGAAAATAACATCGAAGATACGAATAGTAAATGGTAATTATAATTAAGGAATAATTAATTACAATTAAGGAATAATTACTTATAATTAAGGAATAATTAATCATAATTAAGGAAACAGCCAAGATAATAGAAAAAAATAGAAATCGCAATGAAGAAAGGGAATTAGAACTTTCATGAAAAAGAGTCGAAATATGGCCATGAATATTTGTAGGGGGGGGATAAAATGGAATGCCAGGAATTAACACTAACCAATCTCGGTAGGAGATGTACTAATTAGTGGGGCACGGTTTGAGCTTAATAATAAGGACCTCATGTGTGGTATTATAGTAGCACTTGTTTAATTAAGATATCTATTTCGCATATATAACTTTAAAAAATAAATTCTTTTATTTCAATCACCAAGAAAGTGGTAACCACCTAAGCATTTAGATCATAGTTTGGGAGTAAGGAGAAGTAAACAATGCTGATATTTTTAATCATATATTTTCCAAATATAGCAAATCTTATTGATTATAATATGTTGTATATGAAATAGATTAGGACCAATGTTTTTGAACTATCGAAATAATTTGCGGCAATATGTTACCTGTACCTATTAACAACAGGATTATCTGGGCTTATTATTAACAAGATTATCGACTCTGATCTGATGCATTTACGAAAGTCGCAAACATCTTTTTAGGTTGTCAGGTTAGCGCTGATGAACATTAACTTCAGAAATCCGGGACATAAAACCAGACAAAAAACCGAATTAATTTGTTGAAAATTCATTCCAATCATGAGGAGCGTAAAAATAAAGATAAATGAAAAATAATGATTGTAATCCCGAAAAGTATATTTGTCCGTTATCAATATGCGATTATATTTAATAGTTGTATCTTGTGCATATATATATATATATATATATATATATATATATATATATATATATATATATATATATATATATTGTTTACAAATGGTGATATTTACAGAGGAAGATTCACAGTATCAGAGATACAGCGTTTATATATAGAGAGTGTGAACATAGGAATTACAACTGCATGGTGACTGTCA